TGCTTTGGCTTTCTTCCCGGATAGACTCGGATAGACACCGAGCTGCAGAAAGATCAACGAACCGCGAGTCCCAACGCAGTTTCACTTGGCCCTTTTTCGAGATCAGCCAAACCACCCAATACCTTGAAATTCCCCAAACAGCCGACCGTTCCACTCCGCCTGGGCCGCGTCCAAGACGGGCTCGAAGCACCGAAGCGCCGAAGCCGACGGGCCTGATGCCGTTGACGCCGTTAGTGAATGCGTTGGACTTGCCACTGCCCAATGAGCAGCTCTTGGAACGCTTCGGCCATCTTCTTCGCCCAGGAGTCCACCTCCCGGTCCAAGTGCCAGTCGCTTTTGTACAGGGTGTGCAGCTCCAGCCGCAAGGCCCTTTGCCAAATCCACCAGGTCAACGAGCAAGAGGTCGAAGAGGTGCTAATGATGGAGATCCGTAGCGCCAAGAAGACTTGAGAGGTGCTGCCCGAAGAATGCTCTTTTCTGGGCAGATCCGGGTTTTTAAACAACTAGCCGGAAGAGCCCGAAGCAAAGCCAAAAGAGCTGCTATAGAGCAACCAATTAATCTGACATTGAATGTTCCCAGAAGTAGCCTCACAATGCACGTTGGAATGACTGTCGAGCGCAGTGCTTTTTGGAAGCCATCAACGTCGCTGGTGAGGAGACCTGTTTCTCGAGCGGGCTGTCCCGCGCCCAAGCCAGTGTGGACCAACCGATTGTATATACTACCCAGTAAAATATGTTGTGTTCGCAGACACATGTTGATTCGAGACATAACCATTCGTTGCCGTGAAACAACGGCAATGTTCCGTCCGCAGAGGTGAGTGATTTTTAGAGCTTGAACATAGTGAGTCCAGGGTTGTTTGATCTGGCATAGCACCACGAAGCAAGTCCAAGGCTGTTGAAAAGAATGATCTTTTTGGGGAAGGTTCATGTGAAAAGAGATATTATACATTGACAGTTCCGTTAACCTTGATTTTCGGCACCTCCGGCACCTCAGTGAAGCAGATCCCCGACCAGCACCCACCGGTCGCCAGCCAGATCAGCAGTTCCGAGTGACTCTGGCACAGAGATTGAAAAGACATCGGAGCGCCACATCCGTGTTCGGAAGGACGCAAATTGGGTGACATGACATGTGACATGTCGACTGAGGAATAACAATAATAACAATAACAGTCCCCCTACTAATCCTATGCTAGGATAACCAAACACCTCCAAATGGGGGGGGTAAACATGTTTAATTCGTTGCCATTCAGTCATGTGAATACATGTGAGACCTCTTGTCTGTCCTCGATATCGTTCTCATCGCTGGGCCATTGGACCGCTCCGGTCTCCATCCTATCCGTGGATCCACCATTGGACGAAGGAAGTTGCGTCTGCCACATGTGAAAGCCTTGCGTTGATTTGAGTAGCCTTATAGTGGTCCAAATAGATAGTGGCACGGTTTCCAATATACATTCTTAGTGGGGATCTACTTTTCTATCTATTTGTGGGTCTGCCTTTCAAAGACAAGCTCATCACAATGAGGATTCAGGGGCTACAGTAGAGTTGGTCAAAACTCGATTTAGACGCCTGCAGATGCCAATTCTTTGCCCAACCACCCGAGTGGGTTTCTAAATTGGTTGAAAAGCGGAACCACTTTTGGAGTGTCAGGAGTTGTAGGATTGTAGGAGCTGTTGGCCTTCATATGTCATCATCTCTGAAAGATGGCCCAACAGATGAAGACACAGAAATCAACGGTCCCAATCCCGCGCCAACCCCTTGGACCAAATTGCCCCGTGCGGCCGCCGTTCCACGCGGCGATCGCGAGCGAGGCGCCCTGCGAGGAGTTGATTGCCTTGTCGGGGGCCACGGTGCTGGGCGAGAGAGGGAGAGAGAGCTGGGCGAAAACTTATTAGAGAGGCTAAATAAGCTATTAGTAACAAGGGCATCGCTACTAGTAGCAAGAAGCTACTAGTAGCTCCGGGCATCACTACTAGGAACAAGAAGCTACTAGTAGCAAGCTGACTGAGTTTTTGAAAGTGACCGAGTCCGGCTAAAGAACTTACCAATGACGATCACTCCATATGTCACTCCTGCATACTATCTAGCAAGAAGCTACTAGGGGCTCCTGGCATCGCTACTAGGAGCAAGGACGCTACTAGGGGCTCCTGGCATCGCTACTAGGAGGAAGAAGGTAGTAGGGGCTCCTGACATCGCTACTAGGAGCAAGGACGCTACTAGGGGCTACTGGCCTTACTACTAGGGAACGGAGTGACCATCTAAGTGGATCGACTTCACATTTGGCAGATCTGGGGCTCGGAGGTTGAAGCTCCTCCTGACCGCGAAGACGCTCGAAGCGTCCGGACGCCGAGACGCGTGATTGGAGAGACCGAGACTGAGACCGAGACCCATTCGTGAGAAACAATGCTACTAGCAAGGACGCTACTAGGAGCAAAGGGCATTGCTACTAGGAGCAAGGACGCTACTAGTAGCTCCTGGCCTTACTACTAGGAACAAGAAGCTACTAGTAGCAAGGACGCTTTAGGTGAAGGCCATCGCAACTAGGTTGGAGGCCATCGCTACTAGTAACAAGAGGCTACTAGGGAAGTTGGTTTATATATTATGTTTATATGGTCTCTATCGAGCCAACCGTCCTTTTTTTGGGTCTTTGGGCGGGGCCTGACCGGGTAGAGAGATGACTTCCTTTCGGGGCCTTCCTTCCTTGTTACTAGTAGCGTCCTTTGCTCCTAGTAGTAAGGCCAGGAGCCCCTAGTAGCGTCCTTTGCTCCTAGTAGCGATGCCCTTTGTTACTAGCAGCGTCCTTCCTTTCCCTTTGGTGGGAGAAGATGGGGCGACAGGGCGGAGCCAGGCAGAGTTGTGGTCAGAGTGGTCGTCAGTGTTCCAGTTGCGATCGAATATCAGGGTAGATGGTAAAACCGACTGAGAGAACAAGTTGTGTGGACCCCCAATTGATCCATTCTATCCATTTCTGGAGCTCTAAAGCCAAATGGAAGGGTTGTGCCCACTATCGAAATCAGCTCTTTCAACATAAAAAAAGTAGGGGGGTTCCAGATCCTGAGGGGGATTGAGGGGCATCACATGGCATCACGTCAACGACCTGCCCAGCCTCAAAGCCAGGTTGAATGCCGATGTCGAGGCAGGCGGATTGCACACCTATGGTGTGAAAGATGGGATTTGGTCTATCAGAGTCTATAGTCATCTATACCAGCTTCTTCAAAGTGGTCTCGATTAGAGGTCACTTAGATAAAAAAACAAAGAGGGAACTTGGACCTGAAGATCATTGATAAGTGACCCTTTGATAAAGGATGATTTTGATATATAAGTGGCCTTTGGGTCTTCTTGATGCTTCTTTATGCTGTTGAACCTCAAGTCTTCAAAGATGATTTATCAAATGTGGGGGAGATGTTGGTCGAGCGGGAGTGTTTTGCGATGATGCGCTGCATCGCCAGCTTCTGCAGCCAACCTGGCACAAGGCACAGGTGTGTGAGAGCAGGCACTCATGAGTTCCAACCAGCTGTAACCAACGGCTCCAGGCCACGTGCACGAAGAAACTTAAGATGTCGAAACATAGAATCATGATATATGAAATCTAGTGCTTGGGACCTTCTTTTTTTGGCCATCGTTCGACTGTTGGCCATGGATTCGGATGGACAACCCTTGGAAGATCCTGGCACAAAGCTGAAGGAATTGACGATTGATGGACAGCACCTTTGCCGGCCTATAATTGTTTTTAAAGTTGGAATCTCATGGTCGACAGACTCATGACCTTTAACTTAAGGGGGTCAAACCTGATCTAAGGCGCCTTCGGAAGTCTATGCAACGTCATATCCCTGACTCCATCAAGGAGGAACAAGAGATTGTGCCTGGAGGGGATCTACGCCGTCAAGGCAACCAATGGCTTAGGAAGGCTTGGGACTCCTCCAAATGCTTTCGGGTCCCCAGGGAGGCGGAATGCCGCAAGGTGGTCGGCCAGCTGGTGAACCTCTTGGACATTTGCATCTTTGATCAACTCGTATGTTTCCTATATCGTATTTGTTTGTATCATTAAGAGCACATAGAGGGCCTTCGACCATGGCCCCTCCGGAAACCCAGGCCCTGCTACGACCAAGTCCGAGCGGGATGAGTGGATCAAGCAACAGGTACATGGTTGTAGTACTTTATTGTGCACGTGGCTCATGCGGCCAGATCTGAGGCTGCAAGATGCCATCGTGTGATCAGGCGCCACAAGAAACTATCTTCAAGGCCGTCATCTTCCAGCGTTAATACTGGTAGTTCGTGTCTAGGTGAAAAACATATTTTAAATCGATCAAAGGGTCGATCAATTAGGTCCAAGTTCCCTCTTTGTTTTTTGATCTAAGTACCTCTCATCGAGACCACTTTGAAGAAGCTGGCATGTGTGCAGTACAGTAGCACGCTCTCAAAAAAAAGAGACCTGCTGCATTTCTAAGGTATATTGATGAAGCGGACACACTGCCATATGATATTGAAACCTTGGATGGTTCAGATATGCCTCTAATCTGAACATGGCTCTTTGAAATTTCAATCACGATTGAGTATGCCCGTTCCTTAGCCATTAAGATGCACCCCGCCTGCTGGTCGGAGGATGGAGTCTGGCACACGACCTTGCCCAGTCAAAGAACCAGAAGAAGATACTACCACAACAGATTGCGAGGACCCTTTCTCCGGGCCTGGTTCTTCAAAGTGACCTTTTGATGACCTGGTTTGAGGTCACTTAAGCCTCCTAAGGGTCACTTAGGAACCTTCAAAAGGTCACTTTGAAGAAGCTGGGGGCTATTGCACTAGCTAGTACCTATAGGATATGCAACTTGCTTTAGATCAAGTCACCTCCTCATCCCTCCATTGTTTTTTCAAGCGGTATACTTACAATATGCACGCTCCGTCCTTTGACCGCCGCCTGCTAGGACAGTGGGGAGGAAAGTGAAGGCCAAAAGCCAAAGAAAAGGAAGCGGAAGGAGGCAAGCTCTGAAGAAGAAGAAAAAGACATGAGCAACGGCGAGGATATGGAGGAATCAGGGGAGGATAGTGAGGATGACGACGACAACGACACAGAGGGTGAAGCAACACAAAACAAAGGCCAAGAAGTTGACAAAGAAAGATTCGAGAAAGCTGAAAACAATGCAGAGAGCTCAGATGAAGAGGAGGCCAACAAAGAGCGTGAGGGCAATGATGAACAAGCAGATGATGGTGCTGAGACAGACGAATCAGGAGATTCAGAAGAATCAGAAGGAGCGGCGCCACAAAAGTTAGAGGAAACAAATGACAACGACAGTGAGGAGGCATCAAGCGAAGATGAAGAAGAAAGCGTTGAAGGACAAGAGAAGACAAAAGAAACACCTGCAAACAAGATTGAGGAAGATCTGCGGAGAAAGGCTGAGGACAAAGACCAAGAAGAAAATGAGAGCGATGATGACACTACAGATGAATCGGAAGGAGAAGAGAAGACCAAAGAAATGCTTGCAAACAAGACTGAGGAAGATGTGCAGGGAAAGGCTGGGGACAAAGACCAAGAAGACAATGAGAGTGATGATGACACTACAGATGAATCGGAAGGAGAAGAGAAGACCAAAGAAACGCTTGCAAACAAGACCGAGGAAGATGTGCAGGGAAAGGCTGAGGACAAAGACCAAGAAGACAATGAGAGTGATGACGACACTACAGATGAATCGGAAGGAGAAAAAGCTAAGGAAGCAGAACAAGTGGTACCAACATCGACCTTCACCAGCCCCTCAATGGGAGTGGCATTGGTTCATGGAGAGCTTTGCGAGCCCACTCCAACCTCTGTCGCACCAGCGCAGGCGGGCCCCACAAAACCTGCACCGTGCGATCTGCCTGATGAAGAACACAAAAGCTCAACGCAAGAAGCTGATGATCAAGAGAATGCCGAAGAGGCAAGTTCAGAGGCTGAAGATGAAGAGGACAAGAATCATACATCACGCAAAAATCGCAAAAATGATGAAGAAGATGAAAAAGAAGCAACTCAGGCTGGAAAGATAGACAAAGCAAATAAGGAGAAGGCTGGAAGCAGGGAAGAAGGCAAAGATGGGGGGACACATGAAAACCATGTTGACTCTGCAGAAAGCTCAGAAGAGAGCTCAGACGAAGAGGACGAAGAAGAGACCAACAAAGAGCGTGGGGGCAATGATGAGAAAGTAGATGATGGTGCTGAGACAGATGAATCAGGAGATTCAGAAGAATCAGAAGGAGCAGCGCCACAAAAGTTAGAGGAAACAAATGACAACGACAGTGAGGAGGCATCAAGCGAAGAAGAAGAAGAAACACGCGTTGAAGGAGAAGAGAAGACAAAAGAAACGCTTGGAAACAAGACTGAGGAAGATGTGCAGAGAAAGGCTGAGGACAAAGACCAAGAAGACAATGAGAGTGATGATGATACCACAGATGAGTCGGATGGAGAGGAAGCTAAAGAAGACATAGAGGCTGGGGGAGAGAGTGAGGAAGCAAATTCAAAGGATGAGGATGAGGATGAGAGGGTGCCTGAAGCGAAAGGTTCCCCAGAAAAACTCAAATCCTCAGAGCAAGAGCAGACTAGCGACGAAGAAACAAGTTCCGAAGCCACCTCAGAAGATGAAGAGGAAAAACGTGAAGCACAGGAGACGGCAGCAGGTCAAGACAATGACAAAGGAACACGTGGTGATGAGAGGATGAAACAATCAGATGATGAAGATGAAGGCAAAGATGAGAGGAAAGGGCCTGATGAAAGCAAAGCACAAGAGAACATGAGCCACGTGGATGCCGAGAAGGAAGATGAGGAAGGAAGTGAGGATAGTGAGGAGATGAACGGAGATGAAGAAGCAAAGGAGGAAGATGATCCAACGTATGAAATGGGCGATGGTGAGAGGAGTCATCAAGAGCCAAACCAACATGAGAGGATGGCAAAGACTGATCTTGGAGAAGGTGAGAAAACGAAAGAGGAGAACCGTCGAGGAAAAACGATGAATAATGAAGCAAACGAGAACAAAGAAGCAGGCAAGCTCAACAATGGCAAGAGTTCCTGCCCAAACGGATTCCCACAAGGACGTCCAAGTGCTGCTGCTTGTGGTTTTTCAACCACGGGCATGAGCCAGCGGCAAATACAAGCGCGATTGAAAGGTCAGCCCAAGAGGAAAAGTTTAAAGAAGAGAGAGGAATGCGTTGACTCAACTGATGAGTCGGTAAGCATCAGTCCGATGGAACTGTTATCTGACTCTACTCCAAAAGCCAACAAGAGCAGCGCTAGTCAGAGCCATTCAGGAAGCAGCTCAACTACGACGAGCAGTACAAGCAGCAGCACAAGCTCTTTCAAAAAGCCCGAGGGTGAAGATGCTGCGGTCATGTCCGCAAAAAACACAAAGAAGACAAAAGACAATGAGGACAAAGGCAAAGAGGAAGGGTCCGTGACAAAGAAGGCAGAGAAGACAGAGGCCAAAGGGTCTGCAAAAAGGACAAGCAAGACAGGGAACCATGAGGACAGAGACAAAGAGGAAGGGTCCTCGACAAAGAAGACAGAGAAGACAGAGGCCAAAGGCAAAGAGGAAGGGCCCACAAAAAAGACAAAGAAGACAGAGGACAATGAGGATAAAGGCACCGACGAAGTGCCTACCAAAAGGACAAGGACAGAGAAGACAAAGGCCAAAGGCAAAGAGGAAGGGGCGGCAAAAAGGACAAAGGCAAAGGACGATGAGGACGAAAGCAAAGAAGGGGACAAGCTGAAGGCTGGTAAGTTGCGCATCCGCGACAGATTTCCAAAAAGCAACATCAGACGTTGGACGTCTCCAGGTCCAAGGTTCGAGTATCCAGAAAATATTCCAACCAAGAAAGAGCTTAAGAGAAAGCGGGTGAAGAAAGGGCAATCAACAATAGATCGGTGGACTGTTCGAAAAGGACAAACAGCAGCTTCATGCGAAACAATCTGTGCTGAGGAGGAAGACCAGAAGCAAAAAGGCCAGAAGGTTGTGCCTACACATCGGCGGCGGACAAAGAGCGGTGGACACTTTTTTGAATTATTTCTGCCATATATACACACACAAACTCACACCCCTCACATGCTGAAACAAGCCCATTGAAATTGAACTCCATCCAAATCCAAACATGTCTAAAACGATCCTGGTTCTTCAAAATGACCTTTTGATATCACAGTTTGAGGTCACTTGGGCCCGTAAAAGACCACTTAGGCACTCCAAAGAGGTCACTTTGAAGAAGCTGGCCTTTGAACAAAAAATTGATCAGCCCTCCTTCCAAGGAAGTCCAATTCGAGATGCTCGACAGTCCGATGAGGACGTGCCCAATCCCAACAACAAGACCAAGAAGGCGCCTCCGCTAAATCAAAGTGCTCTTCACCATTGCAATGTGTCCTCGCTGATGGATGGATCAGTGCATCCTAGGATCCTACGCTGGTGGGTGTCGAACACAAGGACTTTCCATTTGCATCGTTTCAAGTTACTCTTTCTAATATTCAGAAAAAAGCACTTTCAGTGGCAAACTGCAGAGTTCCATGTCCTGCTGAACAGCTAGCGTTGCTAAAGTCGAAGAAGCAAAAGAAAACAGATAAGTCGAAACTCAGCTTCACCAATGTTGCAACCCAAACGTGTATGACCCTCATGAATGCAGCCCACAACACACTACCAAATAGATCTAAGGAAATTTGAAGTGATTGCCATACGTGCTACTGGCCAGGATGGCTGGAAGATTGAAACCCGGAAGCGGGTGAGTGGGAAATTGATGGGGCAAGAGTACAAGGTTTTTATAGCCCCTGATGGTACTAAGCATTATTCCTTGACGAGTGCAGCTAACAAAGGGGGGTTCAAAAGGACCAAATCCATGGATGGTCGAACTGCTCGTCATAAAAAGAAGCCTGGCAACTGAGGGAACCTCATAGACCCACAAAGGTTCTACTAGCCTTTAAGGCCTTCAATGTACAATACTTCAACGCTATTGCTGCCTGCTAGGTTTCTTTTGGGGAGTTGGCCTTGCGATGCAAGGCTGTGGTGCTTCAATCATGCCGCTGTCACACCAGTTGTTGGAAACACATGTATTGTTTTGAGACCTGCCGTGCATTCCTAATCTCTATAGACAGCAGCTGGCATGGTTGACTTTTGATCAATTTGACTGCTGTAGCCAGCAGCCTCGGGAAACTTTCTTGAAGACTCATCCGCAGTTGGGAACACAAGTTCACTGCTTTCAAACGTGCCTTTTGGAAGTCAAGCGATACCACAAACTCGAACTATAAAATTGACATCAAGCTGCAATTCCAGTTGCCCTTGGTTGCTTTTTATGCCACATCTGCATGCAGCATCCTGTGAGGTGGCTCAGAGGAACACTTAAAGTCAGGTGACAACACTTGGCACTATGAAGGCTAGCAATTTGTTGGTCGCAACTGCCTTCCTCGCCCAGCTCGTTCTCCCTTCTCAACCCAACGACTTTGCCCCCTGGTTAAACACGCACTACATACATGTGCATGCTCTTTGTGTGTCTAGTTTACAACCATCAGCCCTGCTCCCGTTTCATCTCCTGAGGTGGAGCTTTGCGCTGGCAAGGCTAACCTGTCAAAGGCGATGAAGATGTCAGGATATCAAGGAAAAGAATTTGATGTGACCTGGCCAATTTAATTTTGGAAGCGATCAAAAAGCATGTCGCGCAGTTTCATGGAAATCAAATGAATCGTTTTAAGGTGATATACTCCAAAAATCACAACCTCCTCAGAACCGTGGGGTTTATAGCTGTGTTGGCAGCTGCTTCTTGGTGGAACTGTTATGAGTCACGATGTGTCTTGTGATTTGACCAGCTGTTCGTATGAAAACTCAAGTGAGGTGTGGAACACTCGCCCTGGGGGTGTGCTTGTATGTGCTCCGCCATGTGGGCCATGGATATTTCTCAGTTCTTCTGTGACTGGTAGGTCGTGGACAAACCCAAACGGAGATCCCACTTCCCGTTGCGTATTGCTAGCCAATATCTTTGTCAGAAGAATGATGTATGTGCAACTCAGCTCATTGGTGTGTTCGTGTATGTTTGCATGCCTTCGGAACAAGAACGGCACATGCTGAAAGATCATATGGTACCATTTTGGGATCGACATATCTCAGGATGTACTTTGCTGTCAAACGGGGTGTTCGACTTCTTGTAGAACAACCTGCGTCCAGTGTGACTTGGACCGCACTCAAACGCATGCCATGAGCATGCAGATCAGACTTGAACTTCCTAGCTCAAGGTTATGTTTGTATGGCCACCTATGCGGAGATTCCTTTTGTGGGCGAAATGCAGGCCTGCTGGAACCTAGTAGCTACGAAGCCTTTATCGCGTTTAACAGCGCTGGTATTTTTAAAGGGGTACATGTTGAAAGTAATGACCTTCTGCGTGCAGGAGGCTGGCCATTCACATGGGGGCTTATGGGGCTCCCTCTTTGAAACCAACAATGTAACTTTGGCTGCGCAAGACACACTGCATGTGAACACGTTTTGGTGCGAAGGCCTGTGCACATGTGCATGTGCAGTGTCCTAAAAATCCATGGTGCGCCACCCGTGTGAAAAACATTGAAAAAACAGCTGAGTCTTTGGAGCACGCTGGACAACTTCATCTCCCTCGACCGGGCGATCGACTTGAAGAGTCTCAAGGAATATTTGGCCAGGATTGGGCTCTTCAGACATGCCATATTAGGACATATATTCATGTAGAGTGGTTGCTGGCACTTGCCACACATTGGCTTTCTTAATTTATCAAAAGAGGTGAAGTGAAGTGGACATTATTGCAGGCCATTCCGTTTTGTTGTGCCACAAGTCCCCACAACAGTGGCAGTCGGCATCACTTGAGGTGTCAAATTTATATATAAGTAGCACACAGTCCCGACACCTGCTATAAACTTCGAGGATGTTCTCCAATCTCCAACCCATTGGGTGCACTTTTATCAACAATGCAGGACCTATGGTGAGCACAGCCTCGTGGACATTGTCACCAGGAATGGCAAGAAGGCCATCAATGGAAAGGCCAAGCAGCTGAAGACTTCAGCCAACTACCCGCTTCAATTTGGTTTGGCCGTGTCTCTTCTCATTGCACCACATGGTTCACCTGAACCCAACCCAGAATCTAAGCTGAAAGCATGATCGATCGAGATATATATATATATATAGTAAAGCCTTTTCGCATTCCAGCAGGTTGCATCATATTCAGTTTTTGTGCCTTGAGGAGATCACTATCGATGAAGGGGACCCAGATTATGATGATGCTGGCTGCCTAGATGACATCATCAAGGGCAGAAAGTATGCTGCGTGGCGGACGGCATAGGTCCGGACCAGTTCTGCGATGTGGTGTTTCATAAATATGTATATATCGATACTATTCATGCGCTAGCCGCTATAGAGATCTGGTTCGAACCATATATCCAGTTCCGAAACCTCGATCCCAAGTTCTAATTAATCGGTATGGTGGCAAAAGGTCGACTGGCACCCGTTCAGACGCAAGCCTGATCACGAACCAGCGGCCAAGTCACCCATTTGCCAAGCGTGTACCTGCACACGTGACTTGGACACGGGTATGTGCTGGGCTGGTCAAGCATCAAAACTATCGTACAGATCTCGAGGGAATATATCAAACCATTATTTTGTATCTAAGATCGATTCATATATATCAAATCCTTTCTCAAAATCAACCACTGGCATATATTGACCTGAACATCACACAATCGAAGAAACGCTGAAAAAGGTGCGTGTCAATCCGTGTCATTTGCGTGTCACAATGTCATAAGTGACCCTTTTGATATAGGTCACTTAGATATCAAAATGGTCACTTAGATATCAAAAGGGTCACTTAGACATCAAAAGGGTCATTTGATATATATCATATATCAAAATGGATGCGTGTCATTTCGTGTCACCAGGGGATCAATTTTTGGCATTTTGTCATTTCCCTGGATCTGGCTGGAGTTCGTAGAGGACCCATGTTTCTTGACCTATCACATCGTGTTGCCTATATATCAAAAGCTGGCAGGACCTACATGGCCAAGACTAAAGCCATGGCACTTGAGAAAGAAACACCAGCTGAGGCGGACATCTAGAGCCTGTAGTTTTGTTTCACAAACCTCGATCCATCCAATTACAATTCACATGCATACCTCGTGGAAGGTTCAGAACAAAGCTAAAGTGAAGCCCAAAAAGAAAGAAGGTAAGGTTGAGACTGAGGGTGAGGCTGGGGGAGATGAGGTTGAAGTAGAACTGAAAGATAAGTCGCAGTCCACAAGCAGCACAGCTGTGGCAAATGCTACAACGACTAGGAAGGATGAGAAGATTGCTGCCAAAGATGGTAGTTCCGAAGCAAAGAAGAAGGAGAAAAAGGAGAAGAAAGCACAGAAGGCAGAAGGTGCAGAAGCAAAGGAAGTCAATAAGAAAGAGGGCAATGATAGCAAAGGAGAGAAAGGTGAAAAGACCGCAGAGGCAGCTACACCAAAGGAAGAGGAGGCGAAGAGCGAGAAGAGCGCTGCCAAAGCTGACAGTTCCGAAGCAAAGAAGGAGAAGAAGGCCAAGAAAGAAAGGAAGGCAGAAGGTGCAGAGGCAGAGAAG